GATGCGAGGCTGGTTCAGCTTCGGGGGAGTCAAGTTCGGAGTGAGCTGGCTCGGGGGCTGGATCACAGATCTGCCGCCGACGGAGATACAGTGGTCTGATCTGATGTGGGGCGGAGGCGGCCTAGTCGGGAGCGGGCTCAACACGGTGGGTTACGCGGCCTTCGGCACTGGTTGGCCCTTGCTGTGCTGGACCACGTTCGCAGGGTTGATCGTGGCGCTCGTCATCGGCTTGGGTTACGGTCTCCACTCCATCGCCTCGGCAGTCGACGTGCTGGTCTTCTCACCACTCCGCTGCCTGGGTCGGGCGCTGGGTTTGTGCTGTCCGACAGCGAAGCCAAAGGTTGCGGCCGCCGAGGAAGGAGTGGTCCCAGAGCTGAGAGGACCAGCCGTCGCCATTGCCGTGGAGAACGAGTTCTACGCCCAGCTCCGCGCGAAGGGGCCCGACAAGGTGCCACATCACCTGATCATCAAGGTGGGCGATACGGCTGCAAGGCTGGAGAGGCCGCCTTTGAACACTGGGATTAAGTACAAGAAGGCAGGAGTGGCGTGGCCGTGCCGCGAGGTGCTCGCGACCACGTCGCGGCGACTGCGCGATCTGCTGGAGGACTCCCAGGACAAGGTGGTGCACCTGCGCAGAGACACACCCTGCACGGACGACGGCAACTACGCGGTGCATGCCCCCGCGCACGGGTACGTGACGGCGGAGACGGACACCAACTTGGAGGCGCTGGTGGAGGCGGCGCCGAAGCCTTGTTGGGCCGGGCGGGCATTGGGAGCCGCAGCTGCGTCGTGCGGACGGGGCTGTGCAGCCGTGGGGTTGAAGGGGTGTGCCAGGCTCTGCGGGCCCCTCAAGCGCTGCGGCCAGAGGGGCTGCCAGCGTGGCAGGCGAAGCAAGGCAGACACCCCAGCCGCCCTGCTAAAGGACCCGAACTCAGAGACGGAGTCGGAGCCGGAGCACCAGCGCTGCATGGCCCACGAGGTGCTGCACCAGGAGGGAGACACGATATTCCAGCTGTGCAAGGAGAAGTGTCGAGATCGAGCCCGAGGTGCCCCTGTCCGCCTGGTCACGGAGGACGGTGAGAAGTCGAACGTCAAGGGGGCGGAGAAGGTGGTCAACTTGTGCTGGCAGCACACGAACGCCTACGAGCGCGAGAGAGGAGTGAAGAAGTGTGCACACCTTGGCTGCCACGCGTTGGGTCGGGTTCTGAACCGCGGGGTGCTGACGTGTTTGGAGCACGACCTGGCGACAGAGGAGCCCGCTCGTCTCGTCGCCGCTGCTGAGGGGCCGGCGCCTGTGGCGGCGGGAATTGCGTCCGAGCAGCCTCCTTGGTACTGGTCGAGATCGCCTACGCCGCCGACTGGGCGGGCCATCCTACCCTTGGCGTCGGCCAGTGGAGCATGGCTAACGGCCATGGTGCGGGGCCCCCGGGGCACGGAGATGGCGAAGAAGTACTACTGCTACGGGTGCCAGCTGACGGCCGAGGAGGACGGTTGGACTACGTATCGCATCCCAGGACTCGAGGCCCAGGCCACCGTCCCGTCCAACCTGGGGCCGGTGACCGACGACCGGGTGCAGGCCGAGGCTGCCGCCGCAGGAGCGCCCGCCATTATTGTGCGGACGGTGAACCAGATACCCGACGGAATGGACGAGCACGGCAAGACAGCCAGCCCGGTGGCGCTGGAGCTGGCGCGCGGCGCGACGGGGAGGGAGGACCACCCCTTGTGCATCCTGACGCGAGGGGCCGAGGAGGCAGGAGGGCGAGATGAAGCACATGCTCGGAGGCTCCCGCTCCCGACCTCCCCGACGTACCCGGCGCCGCCACCGTGGAGAGACACGCTAACCCGAGGAGAGCTGGGAGGCCTCCTGAATGGGGTGGCTCGGGAGCGCTGGCGCCGCCGAGGTGAGGCGGCCCTGGCATTGGAGCTCCTGAAGGCAAGGGCGAGCGGAGAGGATCACCCGCTGGACGTGGCCGAGAGGTACCAGCACTCCGAAGGTTTCGATGATCTGGGAGATGCGTGCGACGCGATCGTCGAGTCACTCGAAGCCTTGGAGAGGGACCGCGGCTCCTTCATGTCGGACGACGAGGTGGAGAACCTGCGGCAGCTGGCAGAGGTGCTGAGGGAGAGGCGCGGCCTGAGCCAAGCGCATGAGGAGGAGGCGGCGGGAGGAGCATGGCGGGAGGGGCTGGCACGGCCAGCCCCTGGCCCTGCGCGGCCGCCCACACCCCCCACGGCTCGCCCAGCGGCGGTGGAGACGCCGCCCGGCCTGGGAAGGACGCTCGAGTCGGGCCGACCAGCCAGGGAGGAAGGGGGTGCTGCTCGAGGGTGGGAGCCCAAGCGGCGGGCAACCGACTTGGGCGGTCAAGGTGTCGACCTGCGGGGCAGCACTGCGCGGGCCGAGCTGGGCCGAGGTCCGCCGACGGGTCGGCCAGGGCAGGGCCCCGCACCGCCACCCATGGACCTGTTTGACCACAGGGCTGGCCCGACCTTTGGAGTCCCTGCGAGGAGATCGCGAGTGAGTTTCGACGAGGAGGACTACGGCCCGTCGGAGAAGGTTCGGAGGTCGGCGGGAGCCCTCGGCGATC